TTTTTTTTTTTTTTTTTGCAACCACTTTAAATAAATTTTAAATCATGTGGAGCTTTTTTGTCTCCATTTGAGTCTCTAGCACTTGGCTGGATTTTAAATTATTCTATCAAAAGTAATTAAAATCTGCAAAAAAAAAAAAAAGATCAACGAGGGACCTGGCAGTAAATTTAGTCCATCACGCCTCCGTCCTTCCAGTCGTCAGACCCTGGCGACGACAGAGAGACGTCCCAGACGCCACAATTGTTGACTTATTTATCCAGCTTCACTTTTTTATGTCAGGAAACGCTTGCCCACACACCACCACTGAGTCTGTCGGTCTGAAAACTGGCGCCTGCTACTTCACTTATTTAACACAGTTCATACATTACAGCTCAATGACTCTGCATTGAGCCTGGGGACATGACTCTGTAGAGGCTCGATGGCTGAGAGACAGGTGGAAGAAAGAGGTGAAGAAATTCTAAGAAAAGACAGAAGACTTCACTCTCCTTCTCTTCTGTTCGTCCTCCTCTCTAACAGGGATTATTTCCCGCTCGCTTGCTGAGTGATTATCCCTCTCAGTCACTCAGTTGCATGTTTGACTGGAGAGCACTTTAATGAACACAGACTCTATACATTACTCACCGCCTTCACTTTCTGCACTTCATCACTATTTAAACACAAACTACTGGAATCTGTGTTTTTCCGCTCGTTCACACATTTCTGGCTGCTTCCAGTTCACTCTGATCTACGTTCACGGTTTTTGGATTCTAAATTGAAATCTCATAAATGGCAAAAATTGCTGCAAAAAAATAAAACAAATCAGGAACCTTCTGAACAAGCAGATAAAAGACGTAACGCAAACGAATCCAGGCAGTTACTGCAGTGAAAATGCAACCAAAGGAAAGTAAATTCATTTTTTAATTAAATTTTGGTATAAATTATTGGAACTATAGAAATGAACCACATTTAAATTCAGTGGATGTGTATTTTTATTTGGGAAACTGACATAGATGAATGTAAACCACTGTGGATGAACTGAGATGGAGAGACGCCGACGTGTCTGCTCCTCGTCTCCCCCTGACATCTTGCGTGATTATCCCTCTCAATCATTAAACAGGGATGTCTGACTGACATGCATGTTAATGAACAGATACATTACTCACTACTCTCATCTTCATCACTATTTCAACACAAACTATGGATCCTCTTTAAAGCTATAATATGATTCTGGCTTGATATGCATCTCTTCTCTCTATAAGATATAAAAAGACCGTTCTAAAACTTGTTTCCCAACTTTTGTTTTACGTTAGTGAGTTTAGACTCCACTGATGTGACCCAGGTTTAACTGGCGTGCTCCTTTTTGTCCCTCAACCCAACCTGTTTTTCATTTCCGACTCCCCCCTCGAAGTTGCTCCTCCAGGGTCACTAGAGGGAAGTAGCCCGTCTTCTCCATCCCGTCATAAGTGAAGCCAAGGCCAAACTCTGAAAAGCTTTTAAGTAGGCGAGCAGACAATAATGGTGACAAGGCTATCGGGAGAGATGGAGGTGAGGTCGGTGGGGAGCAGGCGGAGAGCGAGAAGGATGAAGTCAGTCATTAAGAAGTGAAACAGTGATGGAAGGGAAGCAGCGAGGCAGCAGGCGCTTTCCAGACTCGTTTACAACTGCAGTTCGTGCATGTGTGATTTGGGAGGGGGGGGGGGTCATTGAAAAAGGAAGAAGGCATTCCCTGGGTACCCAAAGCTTTTAGGGTGTGTGTGTGTGTGTGTGTGTGTGTGTGTGT